TTTTACACCTACAACTCACCTCACAGTTTTTCTGCACAGACTCGCGGAACAGAGGGATCTTCATCATGGTCTTGCCCATGCCAGTCCACTGACAACCCATGCCTGTACATGCAAACACTATGGGGCGGCGGCTGGCAGTCTAGGAGTTTTCATATGTGTGTGGAGAAGAGACAAGTAGAGAATCGTGAAAGCAATACAACAAAACAATATTTGTAAGTGCTGGAAATCAGTTTGCGTTAGGAACTTCTGATGCTGTTAACCTGTTTGGTTTGTTTTAGTAAGCGTTTGACAGCATTTGCAATACAATTTGGTTATAAATAATAAATGCGAGCCGAAGATTTTACTATTTAAAAAAATGAATATGAAAGTTGACACACATTGAGCTGGAAGGTCAGATCTAACTGATGACAGGCCAAGGAACAATCATCATGATGAAGGCCATAGCTGACCACAAAGCGTTTGCACTGTCTAATAATGCCAGCGCCTGAATGCAGGAAACATGCAGTCAAGTAAAATATTGACATAAGTGACTGCTGACCTCTTGTGACTTTTATATCAAATGAAACATGTCCATAGCATATTAGAACATAATGTCATAAACTGATAAGACCATAGATGAAACGTAATAGGAACCCTTCTTCGGGCACCCTCGTTCATTGGTCACTCTATAGGTTCAACTTTTCAATACTGTAAGGTTATTTAAATGACAGGACCTCCGAACGTACCATCCATCTCTGATAGAACAGAGCCAAATACAATGTAGGTGGAGAGTTTTAAAGAAATATAAATTTAGTCTAGAACGTTGGCCACCCCCCCCCCCCTATAGTCCAGGATGATACCACATGAGCTAACGGTGTGCCCTGGGGTACTCGTGGTACACACACACACACACACACACACACACACACACACACACACACACACACACACACACACACACACACACACACACACACACAAACACATGGTTCCATATCACTGCTACAAGTCTACATGAGCCAGAAAGAATAGAGCCTCAAAATAGGGACTTCTTTCATGATAATTTATTGTCAGAGGTGAAAACTCAGATTAATAACGATAACAATAGTAGCAATGGCCTGCATTTGTAAAGATTTAAAGGTTTCCACAAGCTACGATCTGCACATCAATAGCAGTTTCGTAATGGTGCTATGGCTTTACATTACTGTATGACTCTATCCAGTTACTTGTACCAAAGATAGTAAATAACAAGATGGGCCACTCAGTCAAAAAAGTGTCCGCAGGAAGTATGCTCTTTGCTTCAGATGGCGCTGCAGTCTGTTTTGAAGCTCTCTTTCGTTTTTCCAGAAGAAGAATAGGAATAGCACCTCCTTGCGTGCGCAGATCGACTGCTGTTCATCAGCAGTTCGGGTTCGTTCAGTGCGGAGTTTTAGGTTATTTATATTTTAATGACCTCTCGCCTTTCATTCTAAAGTCAAATTGAACGAAGAAAACAATCACCCTTTCCTCCAGAAGAGGTTTTTTGTCAGCGTAACCATTTTAAAAAAGCGTTCTTCCGAAATTCATTTAAAAACTTGCTAGTTTCACTTTGATTTTTTAAAACTCAAGTAGGATAACTCTGTTCGCAAAAGGTGCGCTTTTGCGAAGAGGGCGCCACCGAATTTTGAGGACACTTTTTTAATTGGCTCAAAGAGAGAAGTGGCCCCTCTTGTTATGTAAACTCATTGCTTGTACCTTAATCTCAGTAAGGTTCTGAGAAGCGTTCAGGACGGTGAATCCACGGTATGGCATCTTCTGAACTGGCTCGTTGGCTGAGGACTGGAGCAGAGCCTGAAAGTTCACGTTGTTCCCGTTCTTCTGCACCTCTGCTCGGGGGGAGAGACAAGATATTATTATTATTATCATTATTTTTATTATCGTTATTGTTATAATCATGATTATTATTGATATCATTATTATTATTTTTTATTATCAATATTATTATTTTTATTATTATTATTATTATTATCATCATCATTATTATTATTATCATTATTATTATTATTATTATTATTATTATTATTATTATTATTATTATTATTATTACCATTATTATTATTATTATTACCATTATCGTTGTTATTAATAATAATATTATTAATAGTATTATCAGTGGGTGGTTGGCGGATGCTCTGGTGTGGTTTGCTCCTTCTTTCCTATCAAACATCTCTCGTCTTTATCTCCCCTCCTTCTTTTTTGTGTTTGTTACTCTCTTGTAACACATCTAATCTTCGGCACTTATATGACCTTTTTGTGTTGCAAGTGCCGTAAAACTCTGACGAAAACTTAAATATTATTATCAACATTATTATCAGTATTATTTTTAAATAGTATTATTATAAATATCAACATCATCATTATCATCATCATTATCATTATCATTACTATTAGTTCTATTATTATTAAAGTATTCCTCAAAGAGGTGTTTACTAATTAATTTTTTTTAAAGATAGACTCCTTGTGTTTGTGGGAGCGCTCACAAATCAAGGTAAGCAAGAAAGGCCATCCAGACAATTACAATTCCAAATCATTCTTAAAAACAGTGAACCTGTTCATTGTCCAGATATAACTGCATTCTAATCTGATGCATTTCTTCTTCTCTTACAATGGCCATGTTTCTGAGTCATCATAGTATATCTAATGTATTGATAAGTGTGTCATCGTTGGTGCAGTGCTCTAGAAAATGACAGCTAACATTTTGTTGATGTTAAGTTTAACAGTATATCGCCTTTTGCCTTTCCCCGTTGTATAAGGAAAATGGGAAGATTATGGAGGGGGTACCAGTAGATATGCCCATGGAAGTGCGCGTGGAGTATTTATATATATATATATATATATATATATATATATATATATATATATATATATATGTGTGTGTGTGTGTGTTTGTGTGCGTGCGTGCGTGTGTGTGTGAGAGTGAGAGAGAGAGAGTGTGTGTGTGTGTGTGTGTGTGAGTGAGAGAGAGAGAGAGTGTGTGTGTGTGTGTGTGTGTGTGTGTGTGTGTGTGTGTGTGTGTGTGTATGTGTGTGTGTGTGAGTGTTGACAGTATGAGTGTGAGTGAGTGTGTGTGTTTATACATGTATGTATGCGTACCCGAGAGCATAAGAGGAGGCATATGAACATAAAGGGATCGACTGACAACAGACGTGAGGATGAACTCTCAGACATGCAATATTGAGGAGCAATTAATGGGAATTAATTTTCTAAAAGGAGAAAATGGGGATATACAAGTTATTAGCGTAAGTTTAAAAATAAAAACAGGCTAAGTCAATTTTCAGAATAAAAACGAGGGTAGTAGCCATTTGAACAAACTATGTAATTCACAAACTGTATATTGCACGGCTAAATCAAGTTAAGAACTAGCCAAACTCAGTCATTAAAATGTGAAAATTGGTTAATGGGGGGGGGGGGGCAATGCCCTAAAAGTCCCGATTCGGCTCAAAATTATGGATTTAGATTTGTTTGCATTTTTAGCTTCTTTAGCCTCTCTTACAACTATTTCATAGCAATAGACTCCCCTAAAGCCTTATTTCTTCCCATACCTGGCATATTTGTCACCACCATTTCTGCATAAAGTCAATCTTTTATTTTTCTTTAACGCCCGTTTTCTCAACGAAGTTTTTTCTATGTACATTTTTTATTAAAGAACTTCACTATTTTTCATCCAATCTTCATGAAATTTTCACAAAATGAAGAGGAGATGTAGATCTAATACTAAAAAGTATACGTTGAAATTTTGATAGATGGAATAGATTTTTGTTGGTGGTGTCTTGAGTGTGGATTTTCACGGATTTTTTGCAACTTGAATAGTACCTCAGGAAAAAATTCATTTATAATATTCTAATCCGTTTAGGAAAAATTCAAGTGAAAAATATTTTAATCTAGTTTGCCAACATGCATGCAAAAAAAAAAATCTATTTCCATGAAAAATAAGTGCGGTATTTGTTTCGTAAGACATGTCAATGAAATTCAATATGGCCGCCGTAGCCTTGGAAACGAAACTCTTTTCCTCAAATTTGATTGCAGATTTCAAGACTCTTTACTATGCTTGTTATATGTGTGAAATTTGGGAAAATTTCATCTACTAATAAGCGAGATAGCGTTCAGGTGTAGCCACCCCCCCCCCCCCTTTTAAGACGTGGCAGAACAAATGTGACTGAGCCTGTTCTTCTGTTGAACCCTTCAATTACATTGACAGGTGGCCAAGAAAGCAGGTGATATGCATGCAGGTGGTCATGGCATGATTAAGAGGGTCAATAGGAAGGCAGGCAAACTGTCATACTGGAAAGAGAAGTGTATTTCTCACCATTAAAGATCTGCCTCAGGCCATCCTCTGTACGTGCACCATACGTAAAAAGACGGACTGCGTCATTAGAAGGGTGTACCGTGGTGTTTGGACGATCATTCTTCCTGCAAAACCCCACAAAAATGATATAGTACTTTTATTATTAAGTATTTCCATTTTCGAGTTTAAATACAGTCGAATTTGCTCTAATTACCAGCCGTCCAAGACAATCACCTGTACAAAGAAACATTTCCCACTTTCCCCTTACATTTTAAGCGTATTCTCACTGTCCAAGAGGATCACCTGTTTAAGATGACCACTTTTTATCGACAAAGGGCAGCCGTCTTGGATAGGTTCGACTGTTTTGCATTTGACGGCCAAGCTGAGACCAAGATAAATAGCTTTGAAACAATTGAAGGCTCTCTGCTACCTCCCATCACACCTTGATTAATAGTTCATGACCCAGAAGTAACATACTGTCCCTTAATGGGGGGGCCCTTAAACTTAAACCAATCGTGACTAGCAAATTATACCCAAAAACAGAAACTATGATCACTTCAGCCGCAAGAACAATCTATAATCATATCGACTGAGAGACAACAGAAACCTCCTTACTTGATCACACGGTACTGATAGTGGGGTGAGAAGGACATTTCACTTGAGTTCACATTTTGAGTTGGGGGATGGGTTATTCACTTGAGTTCACAGTTCGAGTGAGGTGGATGGGTCACTTACTTGAGCACACAGTGCGAGTTGGTTCCTCCGATGCCAAAGCCACTGATGCCACACACTTGTCCAGACCAGGGGGTCATTTCAGTGACCACTTTGAGACGGCCGTCCAGAAGACCGGGAATCTCGGGGTTGGGTCTCTCAAAGTTCAAGTTTGCAGGCAGGAGACCTTCCTCAATGCCGAAAATACACTTGACCACAGCGTTGAAGCCTGAGATCCAAACGTAAAAAGCATGAAAATAAACAATTAATGAACTGTAATGCATAAGCTCCGTTTAAAGAATATAAACATCATACAGAGAAACCTCATACAAAGAAAGAAAAGAACTACCACGATGAGTTTAGGCTGTAAAAGGATAAAAGGATGGGAAGGGGGGAGAGTAAGAAGAGTAAGATTTAAATTATAATGGTTGACAGGCCTGTAGCTCCAACCAGGGTAAAATCTGCACTTAGTTAAGTCACTTTAACGTAATATAGATATAAATGATCAACTTCAGTCGATATATCTATACTGGACGCAACCTCTACCAAAATTTCCATATTTAGAAGAAAGTATATCCCATTTGAGTCGCTACACATTTTGTAAAAACCATGTTATTCTGAAAAAGTATGTTGAGCAATAAAAGCGTTCGCCCCAAGCACACGAAGTATTTTTCCACTCGTTGCACGGCTGCGGGTATGCAAACGAAGCAATTTTTGCCTGTTCGTCTCTCATCACCGCCAAGGGGCGTCAAATTTCAAAGCCATACGAGGAGTCGAAATTTCCAAGTCTTCCCTGGGCTTTTTTTTTTTGGTATGACTATTGTGTTCGTTGAATCAAGAAGCAAAAAAAAGTCCTGTAAGGCAGCACTATCACAAGTACGAACATGCACACATGATTAATCATTTCTGATATTTATGATAGTGACTTTTTGTAGCACAGGACCAAGCAACAGATACTGACCACCGGCATAATATGTTGTGTAGCGGTTAGGCGATTCGCTGTCGCACCGTTTTCTAAATGATATGAATTGTGTCGATTGGAGCGTAAAAACACCTACAAATAGGTACTGACCAGCAGTGGCCTCAGCGTGTCCGATATTTGTTTTAACAGACCCCACCATGAGCGGCTTGGTTCTGCGTTTGCCACAAAACACATTGGTGATGGCGTTGGTCTCCACAATGTCACCTGCCCGAGTACCTGTGCCGTGACACTCCACGTACTCCACCTGAGGGACACATCAAAGACATGTTGCTACCTTAGAATTACAACTCTCTCTCTCTCTCTCTCTCTCTCTCTCTCTCTCTCTCTCTCTCTCTCTCTCTCTCTCTCTCTGGCATTTTTTTGCCGTTTTGGGTTACTTAGACCACAAGATCATAAACCAAATGTTCTTCCAGCTCTGTCACAATCGAAAGATTATTAGGGTCACCATCAAGATACTCAAAGAAATAATTTCGAAAAAGCTTGACGCGTTGTGAAACGCAATATCTTTAATGTCAAATGATTCAAAACAAAGTACTGAGCAGATGGAACTTTGCAATTCTAAGGTAGCGATGTGAGAGGGACAGCAGCATACTGTCGGTAACCTTGAACAAAAACATATTATCGTACTTGTAAAACTTACTACAATAAGGGAGTCGATTATTAGTATGTGTACTCGCAATTTTAGAAGTTTTACTTCTCAATCTTATGTGAAATGTGTTAATCTGGTTCCATCTGTAAAGGCGCACTTTCAAACATTAAACTTGTGTCGTAGATCACAAGGTAACAAGACCATGATAATGGGGTAGAAATATACTTAGTAACATTAGAAATCTGTGTTGGCTTGTGTGCTAGCGTACGGGTAGAGACGACGGACAAGACCATGGCATTCAGGTAGGACCACCTCCTGTGATATCAAAAGTATGTGGATGTGCATGTGGATGTATTTTTGGAAAGGGCACACAATATCTGTGTGATCAAGCGCGGTTGATATGATTGCATGCTTTACTATAGTACCACCCTGCCTTGGTACATAATATCTCCTCGCAGAATTAACATTTTCAGCTCATACATCTGCCATTTCTGCAAATGAAGTATTAAATACGCGTACAGTCTAAAACAAACACAGGAGTTCACGCCCGGCGCGCAGAATTCAACACTGTCACTTACTGTGTGGGGATCAATTCCACACCGCTTGTAGCACTCAGTGATTGTTTGCATCTGGCCAAAGATGGAAGGGTGGTTGAAATCTGGAGAAGGAAAAAAACCCAAAATATTTATTTTGGCAAACATAACCGTGGAGAAAATGTATAAACGTTTTCATACCTATCGAACGGGGTAATTAGAGGATGGTGTTGTGTGGGTTTGCTCCTTATTTCCTATCAAACATCTATTGTCCTATCCATCATCTACGGGCATCCACTCCGTAATCCAGCATGATATCAACTGGGCTAACGATAGGCCCATTAGATAGCGCTAAAAGAACTAGCTCTGACAAATAATTAAGAGTGAAATCGTTCTCTTAAAACCCTCAGCACCATTAGACCTACCGCTACTGCATTTAACTACATTTTGCCGTAAGTTGGGGATCAAAGGTGAGCCAATATAATAGTACCCAAAAATTCTTGTACTTCCCAGTACTTTTAACATCATAAATCCTCCATCCTCTCCAACATAGTCACCGTTATTTCATCTCTGTTGGAATAAAACTAGTTTTTATTCTTTTTAATGGCAATATGGAACAGATAATAACTAATTATGCCCACCAAAGTCGCCGCTGTTCCCGTCGCAAGACTGGTAACAGTGAGCCAATTTGCAGTATATTCTCCTTGCATCTTCCTCCTTTTGGAGCAAGATGGCACCCACTGCCTCACCACGACCAAATCCCTGAGCTGTGGACATGTATGGTTTGAGCAATTATGTATGTGCATGTATATGTGTGTGTGTGTGGGTGTGTGTGGGTGTATGTGTGTATGTGTGTGTGAGGGAGAGAGAGAGAGAGAGAGAGAGAGAGAGAGAGAGAGAGAGAGAGAGAGAGAGGTGAGGGGGAGAGAGAGAAAGAGAGAGATGGGGGGAGAGAAAAAAATAGAGAGAGTGTATAAACATGTAACAGATCACAAAAATGCTTGAAAGATTGAAGCAGTCTGACAAAAATGATGTTATACCAAAAATCTACAAATGAGGAGGTAAAACAAATTTCTTTACTTAACGTGGGTCAATTAACCAGTTTGAGGATGATGGTGTTAATTTCATTCTTAGGCCCTTATATCAAAGCTATACTGAAAGACGATTATACCGATGAAACCATTCACAACTTCTGAAAAGCGCATTTTTTAAAGTGACCTGAAAAAATCAGTTGAACTCTCTCTCTCTCCCTCTCTCTCTCTCTCTCTCTCTCTCTCTCTCTCTCTCTCTTAAAGACTTGTGGTTCTCTTCTTCTGTTGCTGTCCTATTGAAGCAGACAGGCATAATTAAGTTGCCTCATTAGTGAAGAGACAGGGTAGAATAATGATATAAGAAAATCATTCGAGACTAGTAATAGCATCAGAGCAAGCAATGTTCCCTCATCCACCTTCCCCAATCCTAAGATCCAAAGATTATCGTGGCAAAAAAAAAACATTTTAAAAAATCAACAGCTTAAGAGAACACAAGGGAAAAACCAGATATGTCCTAAATTAGAACATTCATCTGCAACAATAAAACGCCTAAAAATTACAACAGGCAAACGGTGAGAGTGAAAAGGCCGCTATCAGTTAGTTGTAAGTGTAAGAATATGGGTTTAACCATCTCCTTTTTGGGGGTCTTGGTAAGCCTTTTACGGCGCTCGAAACTGCAAGGTCATATGAACGTTCGGAGAACATTATACATTTTCAGTTTAATAAGAAATAATTTTGAATTTTTGCCCGGATGGTGGCCGAAGCCTACTCTTATCGATTTTAGGACCACCAAGGAATCTTTAATGTTCTCAACTAGCACACAGAACCTCCGAGATATTTTGCCCTTATCCGAGAAGGCTAGGTATTATATCTTACCTACCCTAAGATCGGGGGTGTGGCTGAAAGACAGCAGTAAGAATTAGCCCAAGAGTAGAAGTTGAAAGGCTGCAGAAAGAGTCAGGCGCTCAGAGGAGGTGATAAAAAAAGGAGGGGGGGGGGGCAGAAAGTGGAAACGAAAGAGGACGACAGAACATGGTTAGTGAGCAGGAAAGAAGGTGAAAGGAGAAAGCTTCAGAAAATGCTCTGTCACTCTCAGATTTCGAACCCGGAACCTATTGAATGAGAGGCGAACATCGTAACCTCTAGACGACGAGAGCCCCTCCGTCAATCTCTGATGGCACCGCTGTTTACCGTGAGACAAAGCAAAAACTACTTACCTCTCTCATCAAAGGTGTAGCACTTCGCATCTGGACCAGCTGCGCCAAGCTCCATAAACAGCAGAGACGACATGGGGTTGCAGTGCAGTTGGCAACCAGCCACAATAGCGCTGTCGATAATGCCCAAGCGCATGTCCTTCATAGCAGCCTCTATGGCAGCCAGATATCCGGAGCAAGCTGTATCTACACAGACACTGGGACCTAAAAGATGCGGCGGAGGGAGAGATGAGAGGGATGATACTGTTTAATTCTGTAATAATAAGTTATTAGTTCGGGGATCACCCGAGTAAGGTGCACCATAAAAACTTACTAACTGAATGCAACCATTTTACTACATCACAACAAAGACAGAAAACAAAATTGGGCGAAATAAAGAATTGGAACAGAAGGGGATAATAATAATAATAATTATTATTATTATTATTATTATTAATATTATTATTATTATTATTATAATGATGATGTTGATTATATTAATAATAATAATAATAGTAATGATAAAATGATAATGATAATGATAATAATATAAATACAAATGTTAGTATTATTACTATCATTATCATTTTCTAATCAATATTATGATAATATTATTATTACTGTTATTATTATTACTAGTAATTAAAGTTCCCGTTCTACGAACGTGAATAATAATGAAGAATTATTTGGAAAGTTAAGAAGATGAAAAAGACTGAAAACAGGAAAGAAACAAAGCATTTAATATTTTACCTTGAATTTATCCATGTAGCACCCCCTCTTGACTACCTCTAGGTGTAAGACTTCTTCTCCCTCTTCGAAGGCGTGGCATTTTCTACAAAAGTTCCAGCTCAATCACTTTTTTTTATTTAAGAGTTAGGCCTACATGCCAATTGTTGCTTCCTAGAAGAACCTAATCTAGATTCTAGGTCTAGCCTAGATCTCGAAGGATTATAAAGACATAGGCCAATAAGAGAAGGAAAGAGTCTTGGCACTTAGATAGATCTAAGTTTAGAAATTCACATTTTTAACAACCGACAGGCGTCACAGATGGCCTAGATTTCTAAACCTATTCACAGTAGGAAAAACCCACTTTCAAGAATACTTTCATGATTCTTGATCTCGATCTAGATTCACCTACAGCCTAGTTCTATACTCTAGATTTATTCACAGCAGGAAAAAATCCACGTTCAATACTTTCATCATTCTTGATCTCGATCTAAGATTCACATAGATCTAGCCTAGATCTAGATCTTAGAATCTATAATGCTCAGCTAGAAAAATCCACTTTCAATATTCAATAGGTTACCGAAATATCACAGATCTAGATTATACTTTCATTTTGTGGTTTTTCTTGATCTCGATTTATCTCGATACATTAAGTAGGCCTACGGTAAGCTAGACTACTCTTTGCGCTTTCGACGACACCCTCCCTGTCACTCACCACCCTCCCTCTGGTAGTGCTTTCTGACCTCCTCTCTCTCTCTCTCTCTCTCTCTCTCTCTCTCTCTCTCTCTCTCTCTCTCTCTCTCTCTCTCTCTCTCTCTCTCTCTCTCTCTCTCTCTCTCTCTCTCTCTCTCTCCCAAGGTAGGGTAACAAACGAAAAAGTCACCATTTTGTAAGATGTAATACTATTTGATTCTTCTTCTCCTGCTTTTTCTTCTTGCTCTCCCCCTCCTCCTCCTCCTCCTCTAATTCCCCCTGCTCCTCATCACCCTGCTCCTCCTTCTCCTCCTCCTCCTCTTCCTTTTTCTTCTTCTTCTTCTTCTTCTTCTTCTTCTTCTTCTTCTTCTTCTTCTTCTTCTTCTTCTTCTTCTTCTTCTTCTTCTTCTTCTTCTTCTTCTTCTTCTTCTTCTTCTTCTTCTTCTTCTTCTTCTTCTTCTTCTTCTTCTTCTTCTTCTTCTTCCTCTTCTTCTTCTTCTTCTTCATTTCTCCTCCTCCTCCATCTACACCTACATCTCCTCCTCCCCCCCCCCCAAAAGGCGTAAGACCGAAACAGGGAATTCCCGTAAACCTCCTTAATGTACAACTGAACACAAAATATCCTTTGGCGCAGTCGGCACTCCGCAGTGAATATACAATGTCGAAGCAAATGATGGCGGCCGCTACAAAAGGACTGAATTTAACTTAAACTTGGTTTTCTTCTTACACATTTGATCTTAATGAAAATACAAAACTGCAACACTACGTTTCAAGTAATGGGTACTGGCAAAGTTTCATATTTTTTTCATTGGATAGTTTTTGAGAATATACTGTACGCCAAATTTGGCCTTAGCTCCATTAGTAGTAAGATTATTATTATTATTATCATCATCATCATTATGAATATTCTTATTAGTATTTATTATTATTAATATTATTATCATTATCATAAAGCTATAGCTGTTGCTCAAAGACCTCAACCCACCTCTAAGGTCCATGGCATAGGAGATTCTGGAGGCTCTGAAGTTGTTGACCACTCCAATTCCTTTCTTAGCCTCTCCGATGACTTCCAGGCCTTTGCTGAGCCAGTAGCAGTTGGCGTCATAGGCCACACAGGACACATACACACCTGTGTTGCTGCCGCGTATTTCCTGCATTGAGTATCCTGTGGGGGGGGGGAGGGGAGGGGATAAAGAAATACTTATGGTGACGATGTAAAAACTGTCTCACAACAGGCATACCCGTGTACCATTGGGCCAATAAATCGTTCCATATTCTAATATACGAGTATTGTACAACGAAGATTTGTAGCATGTGTATCCCGAAAATTCCATCCAAGAGCAAATTGCATTTGCTTATCAGTCTTTAGCTTAGTTTTAGGAAGAGTTTTACGGAACTTGCAACACAGTAAAGTTATATAAGTGCCAAAGATTAGAGGTGTCACAAGAGAGTAATAAACATAAAAAGAAGGAGGAGAGATAAAGACAATAGATGTTGGAAAGGAAAGAAGGAGCAAATTACACCAGAGCACCTGCTAACCAGCCGCTTAACAGTCTATAATATTCTAACCCCTGCGGACTTGGTAGCATTCTGAAACAATCTTAACATCTTTGAAGGCATACAGTACAAGCTGCTACTTTTCAGGCGCTAAAGCTCTAACATACTGATTTGGTCTTTCGATGTCTATGGATGGGTACTCCTTCCCACCTAAGTGAAGTGAGGGAGGAAAATTCGTGCAAAGTGTTTTTCCCAAGGACACGACGTCAGCCCGAGCTGAGTCTCGAACCCTCTAACCCATAACCTCACGATTACGAATCGGGTAGCCTAACAAACTCTAGAAGCTATCTTTGAATTTTGTAAGTCCTCTGTAGCCAAGTCTAGTAGGCCTAGTTCTAGATCGTTGGGATCAGACCATTTAAAAATTATGTATTTAAAAAATTAACAGATAAAAGGAAATAACTGATAACACAAATCATGCGAGTACGTCAGACAGTGACTTTGGCCGCTTGACGCAAAATTCTACAGGGATGACATACATTTTCTCTTGCAGCGGTGGTAAAAATGCTTGGCTGCTCGGGGGACTACGTTGAAAAAATAAAGGGGATGTTAGGTTTTATCTCAATCATGATATAGCATTTTATAGCCTAGTTTTGGGTTAATTCTAGGAAATCTCTCGTACTAACCATCCACATCTAAATATATTGTAAGGTCAATTCAATGATAACTTGCCTTGCATTCATACAAATTTCAACTACTCAAGAATATTCTACGAAATGCTTGATGGCTCACCCGCATCTACAGTGGCTTCGTATGCTGCTTCCATAGACAAACGGATGTTGGGGTCCAGGAACTCTGCATTCTTAGGTGCAATGCCGAAGTAGTCGGAGTCGAAATACTCGGCATCATCAATATAGGCATGTCGTTTTTGAGTGCCATACTTGTCTGAGGAAAGCAACAAATGAAAATAACGACCTATCATGGGTAAGCCGCCATTTCAGTTATCTTAATCAAATAGCTTTTAGGTTTGCGTTCCGAACATCACCAAACTGCATTCTTCCACAATCAGTCATGGTCAGTGAAAGGACCGTTGATGAACAATAACTTCAGACTAAACCATAGCTTATTAAAATACAAGCAATTAAACCATCTAATACGGTATAAGTAATAGACAGGCTATGGCCCTGAACTAGACGCCATCTTGGTCCAGGTAATACAAAAATAAAAGCAATGGTGAAAATGCCGTAACAACAGCAGGCGTGCCAATGACAATGCAGGTTACACGTGACATCGGAACATCATTAAAGTTATTGTGCAGACAGCTATGGGGGCATAGGCCTATAATTGTGGTAGTGGCACATTCTAGCGTGAGTGAGTTGGTTCGCAGTTGTAAACAAGGACTGCCGTAACCTATTCACAATATCAATAGCTTATTATTATTGTTTTATCTGATACCGGTGGCGTAAAATCTTAAGAAGATCTTCCGAACTACTACTACTACTACTACTACTACTACTACTACTACTACTACTACTACTACTACTACTACTACTACTACTACTACTACTACTACTACTACTACTACTACTACTACTACTACTACTACTACTACTACTACTACTACTACTACTACTACTACTACTACTACTACTACTACTACTACTACTACTGCTGCTGCTGCTGCTGCTACTACTACTACTACTACTACTACTACTACTACTACCCCACTGACTATTCAGGAAGATGGATTTTTCGAAACGTCTCCCGTTTAATTATTAATAAATAATATGGAATTGGGTGGATCCGAGGCAGACATAATTATTCTTATTTACCTTTCCCTAAAAAATAAGTCATGAATACAAAAGGAGCCATTTTTTAATATTATACTGGCTTGTATTCATTCTAACTTAGATTTAGATTCTAACCGGGCGGTGTATATTCCCCGGTCACCACGTGGTATTTTTACGTGAATCCTATTACCGGTACTTTTAATAATGATTAATAAAGAACGTTTTTGAAAGAGGAGTAGGTTACAGGTAAACCTAATGGGGGAGTGGGGGAATCTCCCCCTCCAAATAAAACAAAACAGTCATGATTTGTCAGTTTTGAAGAACGTTCTAATTGTGAATATCCAAACAAGTTACTTGGGAACTTGCACAGGTGAGCGATGGGAAAAGACCAAGAGAATAATATTGTTGGATTCTTTAAAGTCTCTGGCAAGTCCATGACCCGAGACAACTCACCAATATCAAATCTCAGGGCTTTTGTTGTGAAGCCGTCCTTTTTTTCCCAGAGCAGCTTTTTCAATTCGTCAAGTGTTCTTGCCTGGCCGCTTCGGCCGGACATGCCAGTGATACAGATGTCACCTGGGGATCAAAACCATACAAACAATGAATTCCTATTTGTGACGTATTCCACATGATAACATCAGCTGCGATTGAGGCACAGATATGTAGATGAGAAACAGCATGAAAAACTGAATGGGAGAAATACATAGACCAACGACGCTGAGAATATTGCCTGGAAAAAAATCGGTGTTTTTTACATCTCAGTTGACACAAATTTAGATCTTTTAGGAGACAGTCTTCCGACCATACCTGACGGGGTTAAGCCGGGATGAGGAGAGGGATATGACATCTCAGCAGAAAGACCGAAATACTCGATATAAATCAATTTTCTCGCCTCTTGGAAATCGCACTCAAGTCTCCTGCGTGAGACAAGGAAGCGCCTCACCGTTAGACCACAGACGCTGATAAATTACTAATTGGACTTGCACATTATCATGTACATAATAAAAGACATATTTAAGTATCAAGACCCCATCGACAAATTTTTTATTATATCGGAAGCAGGCTTTCGACCCTTCCTGTTAGGGCCAACCTGGGCTGAGCAGGAAACGACATCTTAGCGGAAAGACCGAGATATTTTCGGATTTCGATCTCGGCCGTCCTGCCTGCGACAGCGAACCACCCACACGCTACACCGCAGACTCCGCTCCTCCTCCCCGCCCCCTATAAAGATTATTATTGTTGTTTTTGTCATTGTCATGATATGTAAAGTAAAGTTGTTCCTTCATCCGATCCGGACTTTGGGGATTGCCTAGTTAGTGAGACAACGCCCTGGACCTTTGGCATATTGTGGTAGGGCGACCAGTTCCTTTCCACGCCGCCCTTACTTCCCCAACACTAAGTCAGGTACCCGTTACTGCTGGGTGGGCAGGAGGGGGCGAAAAAAATCCGTTTCCCAACCGAGGCTTGAACCCCGACTTTCCGCTTCGGAGACGAGTGCACTAACCGCTCCGCCACCGCACCGCACATGATATGTACAGGGCTTAAATCAAAAGAAAACAAAGGCCTTGGTCTCTGTCTTCGTCTCCGTTATCCACCCCCCCCCCCCCCCAGTTCTATCCTTTTTCCGTCTCCGTCTCTTTGTCTCCCCTTCTCCTTCACTACCTCCTCTTCCTATTTCTCCAGCAGCTATTCTTCCATACAAGAAAATAGATCTACTGCCTTCTCTTCTCTTTCCCGCTACCCTCTCTCGCCATCTCTTTTATCTCTCAATTGAAATCGCCATCACAGTTATCCGCATGACCTTCTGAAAGTACCCCTTCCCCACTCCCAGCCTGGAAAAAAAATCCCCTCCACTACTACTCAGGGACGTTTGACTCTCACCTTGGTATTTTGCATACTTGACACAGTCGGGCAGATCCGAACCGGTGCCGTTGAGACCATTGATGAGCGGCGTGGAGTGTTGGTGGTTGCTGTTTACATCAGCGTAGGCCGGCATTATGTTTGGTCGCTTGGTGGATCCTCTCTATACCTGGTTTGGGTTTAAAGTTCGGCGTTGAGGGGGGGGGGGGGGTACATTTGTGATGTTGTCGCTACTGCTCGAGAGTAGGTCAGAAAGTAATGGAAGTTGGCATCTAATAGCAAAGATACCTACTTCATTTATGAAAGCAATTCATACATTTATTTCTTATAAAAATTATCTAGAGATCTATAATAATATGTCTGCTTTCGAACTAACCCACAGGAGTTTCACATGACTTCACTCTTGATAATGTTATGACGTCACAAACAAAGGATAGTTTGCGTTCTGGGGGAAACAAGACGAAGTTCACAAACACTGTAGAATTGGTGAGTAGCCAAAATTAGTTCGTGAAAATTTGCAAAATTCTCGTAGAGAATCTGCTTCTTCATATAGCCTAACGCAGTTAATTGTTGGATTAGAGAATTTAGTGGAGGGAGAGACTCTGTTTTGATGACCCATGTTCAAGCCACCCGAATCCCTCTGTTGATGTTATCTAGCACCACATTATGTAAGAGCCCAATCCAAGGATTGGATACTAATACTATTAAACGTACCATTATTCTCCCTGGGGTTTGGATATGCTTGGTTTTCACAAAGTGTTGGAAGCACTAAATTATTTATCGGGGAAGTAAAAAATAGCATTGTTAATAATTATGTGCAGAACATAGAGGAAGAAGTCATTCGCAAGCATATTTTATTATCTCTTACAATTCCGTTTCAAGAAACAGCTGAGCATATCATCAATCTTTCACGGCATTGGAACAGAAGAGTCATAGCCTTGTTTAAAAACTCATAGCCTTCCATTAAATAACAATCCTCATATTTGGAAATTCACAAATTCACCTTTATGTGAGAAATGTAACTCTCATGAAATTAGGGATGGATTGCACGTCACTTTTTGTCCAAATTTCACCCATCAAAGGAAATTAATAATTCCTCCCAGCCTGACTCCTCCCATTGACATATATGTGTAATGTTTGACCTATGATATGAGATATATGCATTGCATAACTTGCACTTTTTCATTATGGGAACTTTATTTAACAAATGAGTTTTTATGTAATGTGATGTGGGTCACTTAGTAAACTTACTTACTAACAATACGATTAGAAAGAAAACGTATATCAGTGTTATGTTAGATTATTTAATTCTCTCGATATCGTATGATATGGCACAATTTGTGTTATGTGCCGGAGATGCGACTTGTGGTTGTAAAAAGGTTTCATATCTCGGTGTAGTATATGGATACCTTTAACCCTTTCATTTAGGTTGTCTATAACTTTTTTTTAATTGTTGGGAAAGTTTTTTAATTTCCTCTTTCTTGTGAAGTTCACCGACAGGTAAATCCTTGGTAAATACATGAATACGTTCTTGAAGATACATTATATAATTATGTCCCTGGTAAATACATGAATACATTCTTGTAGATTATATAATTATGTCTTTGGTAAATACATGAATACATTCTTTTATATATATATATGTATATTATTATATTATATATATATATATATATATATATATATATATATACATATATATATATATATAGAGAGAGAGAGAGAGATAGATAGATAGATAGATAGATAGATAGATAGATAGATAGATAGATAGATAGATAGATAGATAGATAGATAGATAGATAGATAGATAGATAGATAGATAGATAGATAGATAGATAGATAGGAGGGAAGAGAGAGATACAGAGAGAGAGAGAGAGAGAGAGAGAGAGAGAGAGAGAGAGAGAGAGAGAGAGAGAGAGAGGGGGGGGGGGGAGAGAGAGAGAGAGAAAGAAGTTTCGTTGTCTCCGAATTACAAGTTCGAAATACTTCTGAAAATTTCGATCGTGGACAGCATTTTAACATTTTAAGGTCAGACCGCTCAAAAACTTAAATTTTTTTAAAAGAGTACTGGGTTATCTCAGAATTACAATGTTCTATTTGAACAGTTCCTAGTTGTGAGACATTTGATTGACAAACTTTTGAGTTTCACACCATGTCAAGCTTTTCATGACTCCGAATAATCTTAGGATTTTGATAGAACAGACAGAGCATATGATTTCGACCTCATGGTCTTAGTAACTGAAAGGGACCAATAATGTCAGATAGAACTTTTTAATTCTGAAGTATCGACTGTAAGAAAATTACCCAAAATTTGCGGGTGTGGAGTATGTTGTGCTTATGGTATGCATTCAAATCGATGTTCACTGGGAGATCTTTTTGAATGAACACACGCTGACTTAATCATGACGCCTACCTGGTGACAATTCTCAGAATAATATTCCCGGCGTCTTACGAAACAAGGGAAACAAACAGGACCAGGAGTTAAATCCCCGTGTTTGTCGTTGACAGAACGTTTGCTGCAGCTTAGCGAGCACCTAGACCGTCCGGTAAGACGTTCTATGGACATGCAGCCCACGTCTCTTCTTTGACTCAGTTTTATACCAGCCTTCAACTTCTGTACCCCTGCCCTGTTCACGTGAACTTCTCAGCTGCTCATGTTTTTTTTCTAGCGAGATCGATGGGATTCGTCAGTTTTCCACGTCAAAGCACATTATTATCTTACCCATGTCGCCTCATTTGCATTTTTTAAATTTTTACATACCTCGTTATATGGTCGCCAAGACGTCCGTTGAACAAGGCTGAATACTCTGAAACTCAATCGATCAACTCTACAATATGACTATCCTTTTTTCTCTGTGTTCCCTCTCCCTCTTTTTTCCCTTCTCCCCTTTCTCTCAAAGGGTGAAACTGTAGACCTACTAATGGTAATCACCTGTACCACCGACATCGCCTTCTCTTTTAAGTCTATTTAGCATAAAACAACCATTGTCATGCCTTCAAATGACGCAGTTTGATGTTGCTCTGAAATAATATTATGTTTTTCACAATCTCCAGTTTGCTGAACCAGCGAGACCCACGACCTTCTAGGGTGTAATGTTAGGTTTGTCTTCACAAAGGAGCTTTCAGCTGTACACATGTCTAACATTACGTCAATAAGAGAAGCTGTGTTGAAACCACCTGTTGGGAGACGTCCCATATTCTGCTGGGTCAGTGTTTTTTATGGTGTAACAGTCAGGCTCTTTGCTGTTGCATGCAGAATAATTATGTAACTTCCGATTCCCTAGTTGAGAAAATCATTGTGTAGAGTTTCGTCTCTTTGGTAGCTCTTTACCACACTGATAAGATTGAACATGGCCACAGGATCTAAACATCCCGAGACCTAAATTGTTTAAATTGTGCCGAAACGGGGTTTGGAGTGTAATAATAATTTACAATAGCTTCAGTCATCTATTGTCTATCTGAGCCCAAATATATTCATGCTTTTATTAGTTACAGACACACAATCTTCAAATACACACTTCTGAAAGCCACACCATCCCTGCGAGTGTGCATCACACTCGGGAGTTGAGACCTCGGCTCAGTGTCCTAAAGTAGAGACTAGAGTCCCGGTAGAAGTGTCCCACTCTCTCTGATGTCACAGGCCACATGCAGTCGGCAGTCTGCAGGATGACTCTGGCGCTACCCCCGGTGCAACACGCTCAGAACACTTCCGTGCAATAAAGACTACCGTGGTAGTTTTGGCGTAAGCTTTCATGCCATAACCACTACCGTAGTGATTTTTTGCACATGCTGTAAACACTACCCTAGTGACTTTGGCGTACGCTGTGAACAGTGAACACTATCTCTAAACTAAAAACACTACCGCTAACACGCCAGATTGAGTACCCTCGCCAAAAATACTATATATATATATATATATATATATATATATATATATATATATATATATATATATATATATATATATATATATATATCGCCATTCGTCAACAAACACTACTGCAGTTGTTTTTGTGGTTTAGACATTTAGTTCAAAACACTATTCCATCATTTTTAAGACCAGTACCTTGGGCTATTGTAACTAAGAGATCGCACCTGAAATGAGGGTTTAGCTTCAAAATATCTTTTTTTTTAAAAACATTTTCCTTTAGTTTAGCCACTATAGAGTCATTTTACCGAGTATTATGCCTCAAATAGATATAAACATATTTCTTCTAAAAATGCTTTTGAAAGGTAGTGATTTTCAATTTTTGAGAACAAATTTTGAATTAAAATTGCGTTTTCCTCGAAACCATAATTTTCTGTTCACTTTTTGCTAAAAGTCAGAAGTTTGTAAATGGATTTAAATGAAACTTGGCCGAGATGTGGTCCAATTACAGCTAAGCAAGATACCACATGCTTTTTTAATATCATATTTCTACTTAAAGAATTTTCAATGACTAATTCTTTAAAATATTTTTTTCTAAAAAAAACATACTGAGTTGCGAAAGTTCTGTCACACCCATTATATTACGCTAATTTTCGGTACAGTGTAAGAATTGCAGTAAAAACTAAAAGTACGACTTGTGTGACTTAATGGAAGACCCGGGTCGGCGATCAAAGGCAATATCGATACAATTTTTCAAACTATCCAACTTTTGTTTTTTGCTGAAAAACATCTTTTGACATCTGTTCTATCGAGTCAAAATGAAGAAACTGTTGAAAAAACACCCTAAATGACCTAAAAGGGCGTTTGAAAAGTGCAAATTGCTCTAAAAATCCTTTTAAAAATCCCTGTTCTTTCTGTTTTTCTCAAAATCTACTTTTTGACATATGTGACCTCCTGGGTGCAAGGAGTTTTCAAAAACTACAGAAGCTAGAAGCTTCAAATTTGGTGTACATGTGCTTTAAAATCGATTCTGGGGGTCTATGAAAGGGAATTGGGAAATATTGGTAACTTGAGGAAATATTCAATTTTTTGGTAATATGTACCCCAAAATTTCGTCAACTGACTCTAGGGGGTCCAATGACTTTGGGCTCACTTTTTTAGTTTTAAAGATAGGTCAAAATCCTTTCATAGATCACCAGTTCATATAGGTTAGTACTTGTGTGCCAAATTTCAGGCTGATAATTCAATATTTACTATGAAATTCT